AATAGTAATAACAGATTATCCCTCTATAATCCCTATATATCCCCTAAATCCTAAACTTCTTTAGTGCTTTTATGCGGGTATGTAGTTTACGCTGGCAGGAAAACTGCACCTACTTGGGTTGCTCGCTTACAGCTTCTAATGAACTTGCAGTATTTAAGGGTTCTTAAGCCCTGGCAGAGTCTGGGCTTGTGGAGGTTTAGGCTCGCGAAGCTTCATTTTTCGCTTTGGACTACATTCTTTCGGCACCTAGCTATGTCTACAAAGTCCTTGCCTTTTCCCAGGTGTAGTTTCAGAGCCTGAACAACTGTCAACATGTTCTCGGAGTAGTCCTGGTGTATGCATGCTATGATACGCCCACACCCCTCGGACCCTGTTCGTGGAAGACCCCCTAATCTGCAACCTCAAGCCCTTAAGCTTAAATCCTGAGCCCGCAGCCCAAACCCCTTCCCCTATGTAATCCTAATGCATATGCTTTTGATAGAATCTCCCTTTAAACCCCTATATCCCCTCTATTTCCCTTCCATTCAATCCCCATATAATCTCTACATGCTGCCTAAAAACAGTCCTTCTTACCCTTAAGCCCATAAACCTAAAATCCTAAACCCTAAACCACTAAAATCCTGAACCCTAAACCCGAAACCCTTAAAACCCCAGAGTTTAGGGTTGCAAGGGCCCTACACCCTAAACCCCTAAAACTCTCTTTAGCTCCCAGGAGAGCAACTGGCAGTTTTACAGGAGGCGCTGAGAAATCTTCTCTCGGGAGGGACCTCGGTGTCAGTCTCCATGGTTATGGAGCCTCGTCTCCAACCCATTTGGGGGGGGGGGCGGTAGCGTAGTCATTTTCCGTAGTTTTGCATCTAAATTTCCGTATTTTTTGTTTTTAGGGTCTTGAGGGGTTCCTCGTTCGGGCTTGAAAAGGGGGAAAGAAAGATTGAAACAACGAAAGAAGAAAGAACGCAAGCCGAAAAGAAAATAACAAAAGAACGACAGACAAAAAGAAAGCAAGAACGATATACAGATAGAAAGACAGAGAGATATAACGAAATAAAGAAAGAACGAAAGAGCAGAAAGACGGAAAAAGGAAAGAACGATACACTGCAAGACAGCAAGAAATAAGAAAGACAGAAAGGAAGACAGAAAGAAAGAAAGAAAGAAAGAAAGAAAGACAGAAAGAAAGATAGAATTACAGAAAGACAGACAGACAAAATTAGATTAGAGAAAGAAAGGAAGAACAAAGTAAATAAAGAAAGAACGAAGTACATAAATAAAGAAATAGAAAATAGATAAAGCACGAAAGACAAGCACATGTAAAGAAGGGAATAACGAAAGACGAGAGAAAGAAATCAAGCAAGAAAGAAGGAAAGGCCCGGGGAAGGAAGGAAAGAACGATAAAAAGGGACTCGGCGCGCCGCAGCCTCGGAATTCTGCTCAGACTCGATGACCATATCAAGGTTCTTGGTGCGTGGGAGCGCTAGGCGTTGGTGTGTGGAGCGTTCTCAAAATTTTGCTCCGAATCTCTGATCCTGGAGCGCTGGTGTGTGGAGCATCCGCGAGAGTCTGCTCGGAATCGGCAAATCTCTCCCTCTTTTCGGCGCGTTGGAGCACTGCCGCGTGGAGCGTCCTCGGAAGACTAAGACCCTCGCGCTGTTGGCGGCGCATCGAAGCACTGGCACGTGGAGCGTCCTCCAAATTCTGCTCGGAATCGACGACCTTCTGACATTTTTGGCATCTTGGGGCGCTGGCCCGTGGAGCGTCCTCGGAATTTTCCGTGCAAGTGACAACCATGTCAGTGCTTTCGGTGCCTTTCCTATCACCAAAGCCAAGAGGGCCAAGAGTATACGGCAAATAAAGCCAAAAAGATATGGAAAAACGTGGCTCCCATTTGGGGTGTAGGGTTTTTGGTTTAGGGGTGGGGGTGTGTTGTTTGGAGTGTAGGGTTTTGGGGTGTAGGGTTTTGGGGTGTAGGGTTTAGGGTGTAGGGTTTGGGAGGGAATGAAGGAATAATGCTGACTTCTGGAAGCCCGAGATTGTAGACGCAATCTCCATCCCATATACGTAAATCAAAGTCCTCACTGCCTACGCTCTCAAGCATGCTCTAGCTTCAATCTCCAAATCTCCAAAGACACTTAAACCCAAGCCCAAACCTCCCATTCCCCCATTGCCCCATGCCTACTTGGAGGGTCAGGGGGACTTAGTAAGTGTACTCATAACCCCATATTTCCCCATTATTGACCTGCTTAGTACGTACCCCTGACCCTCCAAGTAGACCGTAAGTTCAGGAGCTTCTTGCCGGCCAGCAGCATGGAATCTCCTTGCAGGGTGAGTTGGCCAACAACCTCTACGTGTGGTACGATTATTTTTGCTGTCCACAGGCTAACTTACGCCATCGCCAATCTGCGATACACAGCATTCCTGCCTATGTGGCCTGTTGCCAGATATTCTGCGTCCTTTGCCCTAACGTCCGCCACACGGAGTCGAATGCACTTCTTAGCAAACACACCTGGGCAGGGAGAGGTTGGTGTAGCCTCGTGGATTTTTTTGAGCATTGCACGTACATACTTTGACATTTTTGGGAGTGGGCAAAGATAGATTTGTGCGCACAGCGCGAAGTTTTGGAGGCCTCGGCTGCCCCTTGAAAGTAGGAGTCCTTGAAATCGCCCGCTGCTTTGGAGAGCCTTTCTTTCAGGAACCTGTAAAGGCTTTCCAAATCTCAGGCATTCCCATATGTTTCCTGGTGACACCAGCACGATCCAAAACCCATAAACCTCAAATGCCTGAAGACCCTAAACCCTAAACCCTAAACCCTAAGGATTGGAGAGAGCAGCCAGGGAGCTCAGCCTACATGCAGATGCTATAGCTACAGTGGAAATCCACAGCGCTAACTACCAGGTCTGGGAAGTGAGGTTTACCCACTACTCTAGGGTTTAGGGTTTAGGTTTTCAGTTTAGGTTTGAAGCCCGCCCCCAAATTATGTGGAATCCCACAAAGGTCCTTCTTTGAGGACAGTATTCTTCATAGGACCCCTTTTCAGATTCCATGTCAGTTTGGGGGAGTTTAGGGCTCACCCTAAACCCTAAACCCTAAACCTTAAACGTAGGTGTTTTAGGGTTACTTAGAACTTACGCTAGTTTCTCCCGCAAGAGTACCCTCCCCCAGATTTCAACCCTATTAGGCCTTGTTAAGACCAATATAGTCCTTATTGGCTCCTTAAATCCTGGGGTTACCTTGGAGGCGGTACCTTTGGAGGGTGGCGTTAGAATCCCTTAGTTACGTGACGAGTTGAAAGGGTATAGTCCCCCTTAAGTAGATAGAACTTGGGGTATATGGGGATCTTATTATAATATACACACAAGGCCATCTTCTATCTACGTAAGGGGGACTATAATATCCCTAAACCCTAAACCCTAAATAGTAGTTTCCATTTTCTTCTCCATTATCCCTATATAACTCCAATATAACCCCTATATATCCCCCATATTCTATCTACGTAAGTGGGATTATATCCTCGGAATGACCCAGAGGTGTTGTCGAATACCTTCGATTGGATCCACGGTCCTGTTGGAGAAGGCAACTTTACCGAGGAGACAGATCGTGTTCGAGTCGCAGAGGCCACAGACATTTTCAAGACAAGGAATGATTGCTTCCCCCCAAATTTTTTCAATGATGTCCAAGTACTCGGCGAACAAATATTTGAGTGTCAGGGGTATATTTGGTGCAGAATTGGTTAAGGATCTCCTTACAACACTTTTGAGGTCCGTACACACGCAGCTTATAATTAAAGAGAAGTCTAATTAAAGCCAGTTGAAATCTAATTCAAATCAGTTTAAGACCGCCCGACAAGCAGTTAAAACCTAGCCAACATGATCTGAAAGTCTGAGCAAATTCAGGTTGAACCTTACTCAATAAAACCAATTTTGTAGCAATTTGGTTTAAAAAAAGGACACTCGAACGAAAATGGTCTGGTTGAAATCTGCTTAAGATCAGTTCAAACCAAACTGACATCAATCCTAATCACACGAAAATCAACATAAAGTTCAATTCAAATCGATTAAAACCCATCAAAACAATCTGGAACCTAATTAAAGCCAGTTGAAACAAAGTCATCAACTAATACCTAATTAACATCCAGTTAAAAGCCAGTTATATCTATCAAGCCGAATTCAATCAACTTAAAACTGAGTTAAAACCAAGCAAAATCCATTGTTTACCAAATTGGAGTGGAATTTCATCAACTTAAACTTGAGTTGAAATCAGCTAGAAACTGAATGGAAACCAGGTAAAAAGTAATTCATCATCAAGTGCAAAACGATTTAAAGTCAAGACCAAAGTAAAGGCGAGACACACGTCTAACTACAATCAGTTAATACCAACAAAATACAGGTAAACCTTTTAAAAACCCAATGAAGGTCAATTCAAGTCTGTTTTTTTGAGCCCGCCCAACCTCTCATTAAAAGCAGCTGAAAGCTAATCACGGATAATTGAAGTAAAAACAGAGCCACTTCAAATCCATTTAACACGTAAAACCCAGTTAAAAGTAAATGCAATCTAGCCACAGCAATCTAAAGCCACGATAGAATAAAGTCTAGCAGTATTTTGGATTGTATGAGCTCCTTCAAGAAAACGCAGGAGCACAAACACAGAAGATGCCATGAAGCCAATTTAGGGTTTAGGGTTTGTGATCTTATTTGTGCCCGCTCAATTGACCTCAGAAACCTCCTAGTTCATAACCCTAAACCCTGTCAGGGTGATCCTTATTAGCCGCTTTTGAAAGCAGTCTTGCCCGTGAACAGTACTCTTCAGAATTCTTAGGCCGCTATTGGTAAATCTGATGTAAGGGTTTCAGGGTTTAGGGGCTGGGTTTTGATACTAGGAGGCGGGGACACCCTGTTTTGGCTAAACTCTAAACACTATGTCCTGAACTTCACGGAGAATTGCATGTCAGAAATTGCTCAGGGAACTCGCTAGCAACTGCTGTCCAAGTCAGACGGAAGACTTTCCTAACAAACCCTAATTTTTGGGTACTGCCCCCACCCAGTAACAGTCTATATTAGGGGTCCTATTAAGGCCTATATATAACCACATTATAATTTATTATCCAACTGTTTCTGAGTGGGGGCAGTATCCAGCTTAATTTCCATTTCGTTGTCCAATTGCTTCTCTATTTGATTGTCCAGTATACCGTAAGCCCTATACATGCCTGTGTACCCCCCCAAAACTATATAATCCCTACATAAGCAAAGCACCCTGTGGGACCCTGATTGCCCAGTCCCCCGTCAGCTCAAGGTAAGCCTCTAGAGCACCTGCCCGAACCAAACACAGTTTAGGGTTCAGGGCTTAGCCACAAACCCCTAAACCCTAAACGCTGAACCTCCCCAGACCCTTAGCTCACCTCAGCTCGAGATGCGAAGCCCGAAATGTATAGGTGGTAGTTTCCCAAAATAGGGGGACCTCAATATAGACCCCCAAATACTATAATCCTTATTACTGGGACCGCCAAAATGGTACCCCTAATTGTGGGAAACCCTCAGGTATTGCGGGAAATGATCAGGACGAAGCTGCTCTACTACCTCTTAGTGAGACTTGGCCTCATTTAGGGTTTGGGGTTTCGGGTTTAGGGTCTAATTTGAGCGCTTATCTAACCTCCTTAAAGGGGGTTGTAAACGGAGTTACATAGGGGACTACTAGAGGGGTATGAAGGGGAGTACTAGTTTAGACTATGGCATCATTTTGGGTTTCAGGCTTAGATTGCTATTGTATGATTTCACTGGTCTGAGTTGCCGTCAAAGAACTTTTAATACACTGCCGAATAGGGAAACGATTTCGTTTACTAAAGAAAGTCTAAACTTCCTTGTTGCGGTTTCCTATTCCAAGTTCCTCAACCACAGGCCAGTCAAAACCAAGAATCCTAATCCTTCGACGGTAACCGCCACCTAAATCCCAAACTTCAAACCCAGACCCCTAACAATGGAAACCCCACAGCCCAAACCCCAAAGTTCTGAACCAAAGCCAGGAAGGATTTCCACAATTACCGGGTGCTTTTGAACACGCAGCTGGTGCACTTTCGCGGACTTCCGGTGAAGCCGGTCGAGACCAGGCTATAGGCTTTAGCGATTCAGAGTTTTGGGCCGTAAGGTTTGTGGTTTAGGCATTGGGAACTTTGGCCGGCATACAGAATAGAAAAGGTGCAAACAAGCTGTCCGCTCCCTCAAGATTTCTCAAACACTGCATTCTTTTTCAATTGCCCATAAACTGGTCTTCAATTCGTCTACGCGCCGTGTGGGCCTAAAACACAAGGCACCCAAATCTTATACTCCCGAAGCCCTAAAGCCTAAACCACCCTATTGAGGAGGTGTTTAGGCCTTCCAGCCTTGAAACCTGTTTGAGCCAAAGCAACTTGAGGAGAGCCTTCTGCAAGGTTTCCGCTCAGACGAGAAGGAGCCTCTTTCCTGTGTATGGGTTTAGGGATGCAAGGGTTTAGGGTTGGAAGAGTCTTTGGGGCAGGGACTCCATGAAAAAGGGATTTGTTGAATTTAGTTGTGAAGTGCAGGGGCCTGAGGTTTCAGGGTTTTGTCACGTAACGCTTCTAGTCTGAGGCTTACCAAGTAAGTTACGACGCAATGTCCTAAACCCAAAGCCCTAAACTCCAAGCCCTGATCCCAAACCTCAAGCCCCTAGCCCCTAACCCTCAACACAGAGCATATACTCTAAACCCTACAGCCTCGTCCCCAAACCCTAAAGTCCCGTGTATAACTGTATTGTTATTATTATGATCATTATCAGCTTCATTCTTGTCCTGTATAGCACTCTCACAGAATCCTAAGCCCCAAAGCCCTTACCCTAAACCCTAAGCCCTAAACCCTAAATCCTAAACCCTAAGCCCTAGGCCCTAAACCCTAAACCTTTATCCGCGTGGCCTGGAGGATCCAGCACGATACGCTCTCGCGCAGTTCCTGCACTGCAATGGGTTCTCCACTGTTCAAAACCGAAATGCGGCTGGGCCGGAAACAGGTTTAGTTACATAGTTTTATACAGGAATACAGGGGTCATGTAGGGGTTATATAAGAGAATATAGGGTTTAGGGTTTAGGTTTTCGCAGCTTTAGGGGTATTTTTGTGGGGTCCCTGTAATAAGACATATAGTATTTTGGGTCTATAGTCCCCCTGAAGTAGATAGAATATGACTTTGGGTATGTTATAATAAGATCCCCCTATACCCCATATTCTATCTACCTAAGGGGGCCTATACCCTAAGCCCTAAACCCTAAATAGTAGTTTCCATTTTCTTTTCCATTATCCCTATATACCCTCTATATAACCCCTATATAACCCCTATATAACCCTTATATTCTATCTACT